CCTTCTTTTCTTAAATGTTCGCATTTCCACAAATATCTCCATAATGAGAACACATAATGATCAAATACTGAATCATGAGGCCTTCAGTGCTTATTTGGGGCTTAAGCTTTTTCTGTTTATAAATAATGTACAGAGACTTTTTTTGACCACATTATGTTGATCATTTCCTATATTATCAAAAATAGGTCCTGAGTAAAATTATTATTAGTGGAAACTGCTTTGAATACTTATTTTAGATTTAAAAAATTCCATACGCAGCTACCAGCAGTTAAAGGTGCAGTGGCCTACAACTTAGGAAACCCAACCTCATCTCGAAGACTGAAGCCCAGACTGATCCAAGACATCATGTCATGAACAATTAATAATTTTTTCTTTATTAATTGTAATTATTTAATAATTATAATGTATAAATAGTTAGGGGTGTCTTTTGCAAAGACTATACCCCACCAGAACAATTGTTAAAAATCATCAAATTGTTACAACAACCATGTAAGGCCCACCAGGCCGATCTGGTAATAAATAAATATAAAAAAAAAATACTTATTTTAAATAGATTATTAACAAATAGTTTCATTGTACAGCGCTCATTGGTCGAAGAAACGTTAAATTTTTTTTTTAGAAATAAGTATATCCAGAGTTTTTTACCAGCTGTATATGCACAAGATATTATAATAAAATACATATAATGTTTATTAAATAAACGACTGTTAACATTTAATTTTTTTTTAGCAATATAAACTTAGCTAAATTTGCATGTTTAATATAGTTGCCTGTTGTAGGAAGTGTTGGGATTGTTCTACTCAGCACTTCTGCTAAGATCAATCGATGAAATTATAAACTTCAGCGAACTGTTCTGGTGGATTCTCCCCATTGGCTTCTCTCAGCTATCAGATACACAGTACTTGATATAAGTTTATATTAGTGAGATATAACCAGTCTATCTTCCCTGGGACGTCGTCATGAGAGGAGTATAATAGAATGATTCAAACAAATAATTTGAATATCCAAAAAAAAAAAAAAAAGTGAGAAATACAAGAACCTGGAACACACTATAAATTGCGAAAATCATGGTTAAACATTTCACTCAGGGAGCTAACAAATTATTTAACCAGTACTTTTCAAGTATAGAAATTGAAAATTTATTGATATAATTTGGTTGATGAAAGAGAAAAAAATTGTTTTAAAGTTTCAATATGGAACAGGTAAGTGAAAATTTCTAGTCCAAAAGAGTAAGTTTAGAAAATTCAAATATTCCTGTAAACATTACATGTATTGTATAAAATAAATGTTAATGGAAATTTTCCACCTATTATTGAAGCATTCAGGAAATTTTGTTCTAGCTATTGAAATTTTAGAGCATATAAGATAAAAAAAAATTAGGCATATGGACAAGTAAGAAAAATTTTCAATTTTTGTTAGTTAAAATTATTCAAATGATTTGATTGAATCATGAACATAATTTATTTATATTAAAATGTATTGTAATAGCAGAAGTGGAGACTTAGATTATAATTTGGTATATAATAAATATTCCGGCCAATATAGGCCATTTAATTTTTATTTTATTTTATTTGTGATCATATCATAATATTGGGGTAGATTTTAAATTTATATAATTAAATATATTTATATAATTAATATATTTTTTACGAAACGATACATCCCATCGATGTATTCGGCTACTTCCGGCAAAGATTGCTTCTCGGCGTGTCAGTTGATATCACGACGCAAAAAGAAACATTATGGCGCTTCACCTCTATGAGGTTCTTCCACCCGTCACAATTTCTCCTTGAAACCCCATGGTTTCTTTTCTCCAGGTTGTGACGGCGACTTCCCACGTCAGGAACATTATTGTTCTAAAGGAGAATAACCGTCAGCCGCACCACGGCGATGTTTAAGGACAATTATGATTGGCCGACTGGAGGTGATACGTCTTATTTTAATTAAGAAATTTTTTAAGGTGAGTGGCGCTCCTTTAAAAAACATTCCTGCCGCCACCGTTATGATTAACAGATCAATTTCTTTCGTCTTTTCTAAATATATTTCATAACTTATTACAGAATAACAGTCAAATCCAGTTAAATCTATCATTTTTAAAAAATCTAAGATCGTTCCTTTTCAGGTAACACAGTTTGAAACATGGCATAGTAGCTGAGGTGTTTAAGTAAGGAATCGATTAATCTTTGTTCAACCACTCCGCTGAGCTTACGATATTGGAATAAGAGTTAGATACGTATCTTTGATGAATGCCGATTTAAAGTTGTTGCGTCAGGATTCATTAATCTTCTACATGCAGGCTTTATCAATCTAACATTATTTGATTTTCATTCTCTACGACATAACGTAAGTTTTTCTTACAAAGGGAAGTCAACGATTTCAATGAAAGTTCTTTTGTTGATACAATCAAATCTTTAATGATAGAACGAAACTTTCCAGTTGTAATCCAACGCATGAGGAGTTTTTACTTATTTATTCCTTACAAATAATTCAGTTTTCCTCCGGTCCTTGTAACGATGAATTAAGAGAAAATCCTAAGGATTTACGAATGCATTGGCATTTTCGCAGCATGGAGAAAAAAATCTAATAAAAACAACCCCGAAAATTATTTTTTTTTTATATGAAAACAAAATTATACTTAATAATTTTAAAGTACGCCAGAAATGAATCTAATCAAACGCATCCAATCCTTCCAGTCCAAAGTACTTAGAACAATAGTCAATGCCCCATATTATGTCACAAACAAGACCCTACACCATGACCTTAACATCCCATTTGTCCTCGACATCATCCCATACAGATTCTCAAACTTTCACCAAAACCTTATCCATCATCCAAATCCTCTAGCTCAATCCCTATCCAGCTCCCTTCATCCCTACAATCCTCCACGAAGGTTAAAACGACAGTAGCCCAGATATCTCTTGTAAATATGCTTCTGGAGTCCTGGCAATGGCCAGCTTCTTCACTCATGTCCTGAGCGTCTGTGGCTCTAGTGCCCTCTTTCAGTCTCCACTGGCTTCTAATTTTATGTTATTGTTTACTTTTTTTTTTTCTTTTATTTACTTTCTTCATCAGTATTATTTATTTACTTTCTTCATCAGGATTATTTATTTCTCTATTATTTGTATATATTGTTTGAATGAGAACTCTTAGCCCTAATACTTATAGCCCTCCAGCAGTGGCTGATTGTATTATTATTCAATAAATAGATTTAAAAAAAAAACATAAAAAAAGAAATGAATCTAAATTGCCTTTTTTTTTTTTAATATTTACTTGGCCTGTTTTACTAAAAGCTTTTTTTTTTTTTTTTTTGTAATCTATTATAAATTTGAATTTTAATTCAATCTGGATGATTGAATTCATAAATCAGTAATATATTGTTCTTATTTTACTCAAAAAAGTAAATCGATCGATATATAACCTAGAAATCCATTCCTAGCAGACAGAAAACAATAATAAATTTTTTTTAAGTTTTATCAAATATTTCATCTTGGCTGCTTGTGCATAAATTGATAAGAACTCTTGGACATCGGTCTAATATTTTTTGACCTAGTATCACCAAAAAAAAGTCGTATTGAAATTGGTGACCCCACGTCCGTAACCTCCCTTGTTACTTATTATTTAATACCTTTTCGTTATTTATTATCTACAGCCTCAAAATTACATAATTATACCTGAAATAAAAGATGAAGAAAGAAATGATAGTTTCCTTTAAGTTTCATACCACACGTAAGCAACGAAAAACACATTTATATTATCTCAATATTGTAAATGCATATCCTTTTGTCTTTAAATGGAAAGTTGAATCCTACAAACTAAGGAAAAGAGTCGAAGGATATAATTGTGATAATAATTATTGTATATAATTATAAGAATATAATTATTGTGAGCTGGTGGATATTACACATTGCCACTGCCTTCCCATAAGTTATGCCAATGGCTATAACTATTAGGGTAAAAGCACCAATACCTGACACCCTCCTCAAAAAATGGGAATAATAAAATTGCAGGACCTCCTAGACCTCTATTTTATATATTGTTTCTCCTTTTATATTTGTCTGATTTGATTTAGTCTCTCCGGAAATAGCAACCTAAATAATGAGTGGCAAATTAGGAAGGTCCCTAACAATCTACTTAGTGTCCCAGGAACAACCATCGGTCAGTACCATTGGTACCTTCTTCTCTTTGGTTTATCTGGTTTATCCCAAAAATTTTTTTAATTGTTTTTGTAGTGTATTAAATTATATTTTATCTGTTTTTAACTTATATTGATCAAGAAATTGGATCTTTAATTGTAGTCAGCTACTGTAGCCTAATAATGGGGACTTTTGCCTGTAGTTGACAGATCTGTATTCTCACAAATTAAAAAAGATACACTGATAATGGGCCTTAAAGATAGGACCATTCACTACTGTCTCGTTAAAACAAGTTGCTAATGATTTGGATTAAATGTAAGGAAAGAGTAGGTTTTCCTATTGCCCAAAACAGGTTCTTGATAGTGGCCATCGTTTATTGATAAATTAAAGTCGGTAAACGCAAGAAGTTAGTTTTATAATAAGTTAAAGGTAATGTTAATCTTAAAATGAAGAATTTGAGATTTAGATTAATTACATCCTTGTTCTCATCCCTCCCAGCTATAGCAACATTCCGAACAGTGGTACTAGTACAACAAAACCGTTCTATTAATCTTCAAATTTTTCAAGTTTAGATGAATGTTTCATAAATTTGAAATATGCCTTGGTAAGGCTAAAAATAATTCTATAAGATTGAATCTATGAAAAATATAATAACATCAATATTTTAGTTTTTACACGTAAAAGTTCAAAGAAATTTCTTTAAGCATGTCAGTCAGCTACTGGTGCATTTACCCAAACAAGGCAAAAGTATCTTTTGAATAGATAGAAGTTTGATGTTATATACAGGTATATAGATTTTCTTTTTTTTTTTTTTGTGTTTTATACATATGTACAGGATAATGATGATGAGGATTATAGTGGATTGGATTAGTCGACCTTGAAGATTGTGGAGCTGAGGGGGATCGTCTCCGTTTTTGGTACGATGACGCTGAGCCTGCAAGAGCGACCTGGCCTCCTGGTGTGGAAGCAAGGCCCGAAGCTCCTTCGAAACTCTTTCCGGAACTTACCTGCGACACATAAAGATACAATAAATACATTAATCTATTCGTGTTTAAATTCCGCCATTGAATAGTGGCTTGTTTACGAGCAAGTCTTATTGATATCCATTCAAGAGAAATGTGTTGGTTCAGTCTGCACGTTCTTTGTGTAGGCATGTACTGCGTTACTACCTTGCTGCAGTTCGAGAATCCTAGCTCACGACACTCGTTGTCAAGGGTGCCCATCCCCCTCCACCCAAGACCGATGACACATAAACTATCCCCCACCCTTCCTAAGATATTTTATTCCTCTCTTCTTCTTAAACACCGTTCAAACGAAAGCAGAATTTGAATATTCGTAAATTATATACCGTTACAGATCCTGTGGTCTGTTTCATGATTCCAGGTTTCTTTGGATTTAAAACTTTTCATTTTGAATGTCCATTACGTCGTCGAAATTTGTCCCCTCAAAAATTAAAAGCTCTGTCAAAAATTGTCTCCTCTTATTAATTTTGATGGCGCAACTTGCATGAAACTCCCTTCTGGGCACCCCTGCTTGTTGCGTAGATTGGTTTAATTTATTTCCATTGCTTTTTTTTCAAACTTCTTGTTTTCATGAAACGAATAGTGTGCAGCAAGGTAGTAGCGCAGAACATACCTACTCAAAGCCCGTTTTTGCAGACTGAGCATTTTTTTTTTTTTTTTTTTTTTTTTTTTTTTGTCCGTCCCTACCTCGCCTTTTAGGCTATACGAGATTTTTCTGGGCCGGAGGGAGAGGGCGGGGAATTTAAAATCCCCCCCCGGCACCGGGATGCGAACTCATACTTTTTAAATCTTCTCAAATCTCTTATCCGGTTGCCAGACAACTCGCGGTGCAGTGCACACGCTTTAGCCCATTCGGACACTCCTTCGAGCCCATTCGATTATGGCTGCCTTGTATACGGTGGACTGTCTGGTGGACCAGAGATCAGATTGAAGATTACGCAATTACCATGAGTTGTTTCATTAGGTTTATCTTTGGAGCTCCCAGGCGCTCCAACGTCCTCAGCTGGTACGCCGAGCTGAAGTGGCTCTATCCAGCTCCGCGGCGGCAATATTTTCTAGGTGTTTTCCCTTCCCCAACCTTTACATAAAAAAAAAAAAAAAAAAAAAACCTTCTTACCTTCTTGATCTGTTTACTCCTTGCTCCTATGTCCATTCGTTCAACACGAGATCCCATCCCACAACCCTGTTTACACCCTCTCATATTATCGCTTCCTTCAAAAATCCCTTCTCATACGTGCCACCTTTTTTCGGAATCTCCTACCTATTTCCGTACCAAAATTCTCATCCTTATGTATATATGTATATGTAAGAGTAATATTTTTATGTGTTTTAGAGCTGTCACATTATATTAATGTTATCTCACAGATACCTATATATTACCCATTGTTTATATGTAAGCACACTCTTATAAATCTGGCTATAATTCAAATGTTAGCTTGTGTCTTTCTTTATTTTAATTTCAAGACTCGATAGCAATGCAATTAAATTAACAACAATATGATTTACTTGTACACCAGAAAAAATCACGAAATTGTTTATTATAATTATTCTAAGAGGCCTGAAGGCCCCAGAATAAAATTTACTTTTCTTCTTCTTCTTCATCTATTATTAATTAAATTAATAGCACATTTATATCAAAAACAACTTAATAAGAAAGGGTGGAAGGATTTTGAAAATAGAAACGAGTACAACAAAGCAAATGTCGTATGGATTTTATGAATGAAATATTTTAACATTTGAAATATTTTTAGAAACATATTGAAGTGATTATCGTATTGGTGATTTCAAACAAACGTTTTTTTTCTCTATTTGTTGGGAATGATAACTTACAAATAAACAAAAATTGATTTATTTCTTGAATTTACATGTTAACATTTAGGGAAATTTACCCCCATCTTTAGAACTTACAATCACGTGTTCAGGAGTTAATTAAAAAATAATGCATGTTACAATACATGTTAGAATTGCGTAGTTACATTAATTTTGTAATTACCTTAAGTCAGATGTGTTTCTTTGTCGTGTTTTAAATTTATATTATAGATAAAATACAGAATATAATATCCAGAGCAACAAAATTCCTACAGAACAATCATTGGGTGACTGTTATAGAGGATACTATTGACCTTTGGATATGATTATTTGTTTTTCTACTATTGTTGTTAAATAATTATTTGTTATGTAGCTGTATTTCATTTTTACTTTATTTTAATTTTGTTTAATATATGATTTTTATATGTTTATGAACCTAATTTTTGAGAAGTAAATGGTGGTGCCTACTGTTTAAGATTTAACATAAAACATCAATGATCTTTGTCACCTTGTTTTACTAGTATTTTTACTATTTATTTGATTTTCTCTTCGGTATATATGTTTATATTTTATACTTTTTATCTCTCTGTGTACCAATATGAGTAAGTGTATGTATACACAGTTCTTTTTTTTCCATTACACCACAATTAATTTTGTGATTTTATTTTATCTTAGTATTTGTATAATATTGTATGAATCACTGTAGATATTATTACACTTTGTATTAAATTATTTTTCTATTAGATAGCCTATGTATAAATTGTGTAGATATATATATATATATATATATATATATATATATATATATATATATATATATATATATATATATATATAACATATACTTTATTTTATTTTCTCTTCTCCTAATCTTTACGCATAATCACTTAAATATCTTAGGGAACATATGTATATCATTATTTGTTTTTTTATATATTTTTTTGTTTTAGTAATTACAATTTCTTTCCCTACATATTAACAGTTATTATTATTTTTTTTAATTTTTATATTCCATCACTACAATGCTTTACAGATAAAATAGATTTTACATTCCTTTCTAATTTCATTCAGTGATTATTATGCAATTATTTAGCTCCAATATTGTAGTACTGAACCCCTATTACCAAACTGTCCTCGTTAATTTATCCTAAGAGCTTAATTAATACTTAATGTATTACATGTATTTTGTCATTATTCATTGTAATAAGTCTTTTGACAAGAATTGTAGTTAATATATATGAACAATACTGTTATTCTAAAGGGACCTAGTCCCAGAATAAAGATGATTTTTCTATTTCTATTTCTATTCTATATATATATATATATGTAATTTTTTTTTTTTTTTCATCACAATAATAAGTAATTTTGAGATGATTTTATGTTCATTTATATATATATATATATATATATATATATATATATATATATATATATATATATATATATATATATATATATATATATATATATATATACATATATATTTGTTTTGTTAATTTTTTAGTGGTTACATACTATTTTTTAAATAATGTATATAATGTTAGAATTTGTATAAGGTAATTTTTGGCCAGATTTGTATTTTATTTTGTATTAATTCATCATTGTTATTCTAAGGGGACTTAGTCCCAGAATAAAGGTCGATTTTCTATTCTATTCTATTCTATATCAGCGTAATAGTCCCAAATAATCATTTAACAACAATCGTAAAACACAAATAATCATATCCGAAGGTCAATAATATTCCCCATAGTCAGTGACCCAATTGTAGGTCTATAGGAATGTTGATGCTCTGGATATTATATTCTGTATTTTACCTATAACATAAATATAAAACATGACGAAGGAGCACATCACACTTAAGGTAATTACAAAATTAATGTAACAACTTAACTCTAACATGTATTATTTTTTAATTATCTCCTTTTCAGCCATGAATCGATAAGAAAACATGGGATTGTATGTTCTGAAGATGGGATTAAATTTCCCGAATCCTTAGTATGCAAATTCAACAAATAAATCAATTGTTGTATACTTGGAAGTTATCATTGCCAAAAAAAAACAGAGAATATCATACAGCTTCTCAAAAAAAAAGAAAAAAGAAATAGACGAAAACGTTTTTTAAAATTTAAAAGGGTAAACATTTATTTAAAACTGGTAGTTGTTGACAGCAATGGTAAACGGTTTCGGTTATAACGGATATGGATGGATGTAGTAAAAAATACCTGACATGAAATTGTAAATGAGTGGATTAACAGCGCTGTTAGCATAGCATAGCCAATGGCTGAGCATCGAGATGGCTGCCGTCAGATCATTCTGTGGTATGTTCACCGTATATCTGCAATTAAATGGAATTAGTATCATATAAATCATTTAGATTTAATAATTATATATATATATATATATATATATATATATATATATATATATATATATATATATATATATATAAATATAATATAACTAAATATGAGTTAAAACCAATTCTGTGAGTTAATGACTTAATGATTTTTCTTGAGGTGGCCACAGTTTTTATTGAATAAGAAGGTTTTGCTTAGAAACTTTTCAAGATAATTAAATTCTAAGTACATCATCTAAAGTAGACAAAATTCCTTTAAGAAAACAGGGATTAGATTTAGTAAAAATCCTTAATGCTCCATACTTTGTCACAAATAAAACCATTCATAGACCTTAATGTACCATATGCCGCTGACTTAGCCCGAGCCAGATATCTATCCTTTCATGATAAACTCCAGTCCCATCCAAATCTCCTTTTTTCCACCCTTGCTTCTTCCTCGATCCCTGCTAATCCTCCTAGGCGACTGAAAAGGAGATGGGTTCGTGGTCTTCTTACTTAGAATTATTTAGGGAATGCTACAACTGAGTAGTATCTCTTCAAGCCTGTACATGTCATTAATTATAATTTGTGAATATTTACTAGTTTTATTTGTATACAGTTGTAAATTTAATTAAATAAACAAAAAAAATTAGTAAGGTTGATGATATAACAGAATTTTAGGAGGTCTAATTCGGCCGCTATACTGCTGCAGTTAAAGTGCCAATAAACGAGCAGCGTATCTCTGCACAGCGGCCGTATTAGACCCCCGAAAGCCCATTTTATCTTTGACTTCAGTAAATTTAATCACGGTTTTCTCAAAATAATTTTGTCTACTGTACGAAGGTGTAAGATTCAGTATCACTTTTGGCATAGTACTGTGATGTGATGCATAAAAAATAAGCGATTGTCTGTTGTTTTTATCCATTTTTTTTCCATCTACAAGATTGTGTATATTTGAGATGTATTCCATTTTTTAAATTCCTCAAATTATATACATATATATCATATATCTATTTTAGGCCAAAGGTCACCAAAAAAACACAGTTTTTTTTATCTTCTGTATGATTTATTCGGCTCCAGGAGCCATTTTCAAGAACCTGAAAAACTAATGTAAATTTATTTTTTTACCATTCAAATACAGCCTCAGACACATATTATTTAACAACCACAAGTAATACATTTAGTTTGAAAATTTATTTTTAATTTTGAATAAACTTATATCATCCACCTACCATGCACCGCGCCATAAAATTTTTAAAATTTATCATTGCGATATGATTCGTCCTTAATTCATTCTTTTATTTCAAAGAATGTCGTTTTCCGTTTCTAAAATTGTAATATATAAATAATAAATTAAAATAGATTGTTATAATTAATTTTAAAAAAGAATATTAATAATTTTGGATTTATATACCTCTATTTGCAGACGGTATCAAGAAGTTGTTGTTCTTCAATAGGGCATTCATACAGGACTGGATTTACTTACATAAGGAGTGGGGTGGAGGGGTTAGGGATCAGCTGTTTTATATCAGTATGTTATATATTAATTTTGTCTATTGTGCTAGCATAAAACGTGTTTAAATTATCAACACCTGTCTGTTGATTCACTGAATGTTTAAGATTTTTAGTAATAAAAATGGATTCAATGATTTTTGGTGACCTTTGGCCTAAAATAGATATATGATAAATTATGAGAAAATGGCACCAAACCTGAAGGATGTGACTAGAAAATTACATATATATCTTTTCCTACCATTTTTTTATTGTATTTCATTTGAATAACAATATTAAAAAAAACTTTTAATGAATTCTTTATTTAAGAATTGCAAGTTTCATTACGTTTTTGAAAAAAATAAATAAACTTATTTACACACCACTTTTATGAATACTTAGGTTCGTTTGTAAAAAAAAAAAATATTGCACCATCGGTTTCATTGAGTGTTTTTCCATTGGAATCGATGCTTTCTTCGATTTCCGAAAATGTCCATAATGGTTTCCTTTTGAAATAAACGACATGTAGCTGCACTAATACATATCGTATTAACCCTTAACTTGACCAAAAAATTTTTCATTGTTATAATTTAAAATATTTATTGACTTATAATAATGATTTATTTATATATTAATTTTTATTGATATTAAATATTAGTATGATGTACAAAATTAAATTTAATTTATCATATTACCCGGGACTGCTGTACAAACTCCGAAAATTCCTACCACCTACATACTTCCTCATTATCCGTTCCTACCTTACTGATAGATAATTTAAAGTAAATCACATAAACGGCTATTCATCCCTTTTTTTCTTAGTCCGCTGGTGTTCCTTCAGTTAGTATCCTAGGTCATATGGTTTATACAGTTCCCATCCCTACCTATCCCAACACTGTCATCACCATTTATGCCGATGACACATGTATCCTATCAGTAAATAATGACCCATCAATTGCATCCCAAATGCTTCAATCACACATCATAAATCTTGAAGAATGTTGTCAAAACTGGAGCATTAAAATAAACTCCAATAAATCCCACCAAATTACCTTTACCCTTCGTCGAAAACCAATGACTTCCTGTCCTACAGTTTACTTTAACAATACTCCACTTATCGCTGTTGAGCAACCTGGACAAACGACTAACTTAGAATCCTCATACCAGACTGAAACGAAAAGAAACCGCTCGACTTTTCCGATTATTTCAGCACTTACTAGACAAACGCTCTAAGCTTTCAGTTAATTACAAAAGACTCATATACATGACTATAATAAGACCTATTTGGACTTACGGAGTTGAGCTATGGGGCTCCACTAAACCATCGAATTCCTCTCGTATCCAATCTTACATCAAAATCCTTCGTAAAATCCTCAATGCTCCTTACTTTGTTACAAATAAAACCATCCATAATGACTCTTAATGTTTCTTATGTTTGCGATCTGGCGCAATCCAGACACCAATCCTTCCATAGTAAACTTCAGAATCATCCCAACCCTCTCGTTTCAAACCTTTCTTTCTAACCTCGTTTCTAACCTCTTCAATTCCTGATAACCCTCCGAGGCGTCTGAAAAGAAGTAACCCGTAATTTCCTAATATAGACATATCATTAGAGTGCTACCATTGGGTAGTCACTCAACAAGTGTTTTCACGTCATTATATCCATATGCTCAATCCATATGTATTTCTTTAATACAGTTGTAAATATCATTAAGAAATAATAATAAAAAAAAATTATCATATTAATATTTATTGTTGTCAAGTTCGATTAGGAGTCCTCTCGGCTTGTCAGGAATGCCGTGCCAAATTAAGGGTAACAATTGCGTCAATGATAACATATCGTAGGCACCATGTGAATTATAGAAACTTAATGGGAAACAGAAGGTTACACGAGGTTATTGAATAATGGAGACAGTGAGTAATTATAACATTTCGTTCTGTAAAATTACTCAAATATTGAAATACCTTTAATATTAAATAATGATTCCTTTGTAAGGCAGATAGTGTTGCTCAAAATCGGTCTTGGTCTTGCACTTTTCAAGACCAAGAGCCAGGCCGCCTAACTGTTGCAAGACCAAGACCAGGACTGGTAAAAAAAATCGAATTAAAAAATATAGTTAAGACAAAATAGTTACTAATACTTGACAATCTTAGTTAGTATATGTAAATAATTGTTATAACCAAGTTACTTTTGTATTTAACTCCTCTATTTTTTCATTCGGGCTCAATTAGATTTCTCCCATCTAAAAAATTGCAGTAATATCTCTACAGTAATAGGCTAATAAGGAACTGCAAGACCAAGACCATGACCAAGACTGAGTTTGCACGACCAAGAATCGTCTCGGTCTCGCATTTGGGCAACACTAAAGGCAGAGTACACACCCCTGCGAATTTAGTTATCAATTCGTTTACAATCACGTTACCATCGTTAAAATAAATGTATTTTCAAGTGAATTTACTTTACCTATTCAAGTCATAACCCTAAATGGGTAATTGACTAATATCCATTTTACATCTGCAATAAAAGATCAATATAAAGGGTATCCCTTAAATAGAGGGAAATCTTTATAGGAGTGATAGCAGGCCTTACGAGCTACAAAAAAGTTCATATAAACAATAGGCCATTTTTTAGCAGAAAATTAGGAAATCCAAGTTTTGTGTTTTGTTTTTTTAGGTAAGTCATGTTTTTTCTTGAATGGGAAAATATAATTAAGGAAATATTTAATTTAAGGAATAAGCAATTGCTTCGCTGTAAACTAGACAAAATTATCTTAAAATGAAAATAGAATATATCACTGTTATAACTATTTAGTGAGAACTTTTAGACGGCTTAACTAGACTAAGTTCTGTTTTTCAAAATATCATAAATTATTCGCGATTTTTTTTATCACCATCCAACTATACTCTAGTTACCCCACTTTTAGAAATTCTACCTCGTTTAATAAGATTTAAGTTTATTTTAATTCAATTGAGGTTTATTATGAAAAACAAATGAGATTCACCTCAATTTGTGTAAAGAAATGATGTGATTTTCTACCCAGTCTCCTAAAAGTACCCGTATTTTCAGCAAAAATGCCTACTATTAACGGTTGCAAAGCTTTTATTTCTTGATTTTCCGTGATCTGTGATTCATTTTAATACAAATAATAGCATAAATACACATTTTATTAATTAAAATAAAAAAATTAAAAACAACGATATTTTAAATAATTTTCATGTAATGTGGTTATGAAATTGTGTTTTTCTCCCAGATCTCTGTCATAGGAATTGATCCATATTTATAAGTGACAACCTTAATATTTCTAGCCCTAGTATTTACGTTTTCGTGAAAATAATTGAAGTAATCTGTAGGTTTCGTTATTTTAAACGTCAATTTTAGGACTAGAAACATTATGTTTGTCACTGATAAATGCGGATCAATTTAGAGTTTTGATCTTTGAGAGATCAATCTTGAGAAGGATTT